AAAATGTGACTCAATGAAGCATTAAATTAATTTGACCTTTTTGAGTACGTCTGTGAGGCAAGAAAAAATTAACAGATTTTAGACGCAATTCTTCATTAAATTTTAAATATTAATTGGTTATTCTGTACGATAGATGCCTAAAATAACATAAAACATATTATTTAAATACATATTAACACACAAATTTATTGCTACAAAAAATATGTTTGGGTCACATTTTTTTACATGTTATTAAGCGTTTTTTTAATTACATTAAACTGCATAGAAAGGCATTCACGATAAATAATAACTCTTCAACTTAAGTTTTCAATATATAAGTTACAAATATGAAGATACCGAGGTACATAATTAATATATTTATTATTAAACTTTTAATGATAATCACTCATAAAATACATCGCAAACAGGAGTTGATGTTATTTTCTCCAATCTGTTACCAGTTTTATGTTAATACCTGTGGAATAAATACGAACAATGTCTTTTTATTTAAATTTGTTATCAAGAAGTAGAGACAATTAAAAAGAACAGAAGCCCAACCAGAAGACCATTCAGAAATTGTGACAAAAAAAATATTGAGATAATCATAACATTGGCATTTCACATGGCTATTCGCATTTGGTATTTGTAACTTGGGCAGGCAGTCTCTACTATTCACTCCCTATACAGCATGATAGGAATATACTGCTGTCAAATTCGCAAAAAGGAAATACGCTATCATAAGATGTTAATAATGAAATACCAAAAAAATATTTTAGTCAATTTGTGTCCGTGATGCTAGCGTACCCATGATCAATATACGGTTTTTCGTTATGCCATTAAATACTGCGTAAATAGTGCCAAATTAGTGTAAAAATAAAAAAAATAGTGCCTCTCTAATTTAAGAAATAAGACTATTTTTACGCTATCATGACGTCAAGCTAGCGTACCCATGGCCGACCCCAAGAATGGCATATATTTAAGCAACGATATTGACACACAAAAATAGTTCGCAAATAGTGCCCTGGCTTTACAAAATTTCATAATCAATACTCTTAAAGGACCAAAGATATTGAACTAAACATTCTTAGCTGGCGTCAACCTGGCGTACCCGTAATAGTTCTCATAGAAAATGAACTTTTCTCGTTATCAATTCTATATGTATAAATAGTGTGTTAAATAGTGCCTCTAACAGTAAAAGTATTTTATGTGAATCCGCATCACAACAATACATAAAGAGGTTGATAAATTCTAGGAACAAATGTATTTTAGTACAGTTGCACACAAAATTAATTTATGCACTAAGAGATTATCTATATATGTATATTTACTAAAATAAATAGGTGCTTTTTATAAAAAGATATTTTATTTCAATTCGAATTCACCAATCATAAATTCATATAAGAATTTCAACCTACCTACTAAGTACCTTACTTACCTACTATACTGCGAAAATATCATCTCTTCTGTACATGACTGTACTTCATATATAAAAATAATTTAATTGCTTTTTTATATTGTTTTACTGCGAATTCACATAAAATACTTTTACTGTTAGAGGCACTATTTGACACACTATTTATACATATAGAATACATAACGAGAAAAGTTCATTTTCTATTGAGTACTATTATGGGTACGCCCGGTTGACGCCAGCTAAGAATGTATAGTTCAATATCTTTGGTCCTGTAAGAGTATTGATTATGAAATTTTGTAAAGCGAGGACACTATTTGCGAACTATTTTTGTGTCAATTTCGTTGCTTAAATATATGCTGTTCTTGGGGACGGTCATGGGTACGCTAGCTTGACGTCATGGTAGCGTACACAGTAAAAATGGTCTTTATTTCTTAAATTAAAGAGGCACTATTTTTTTTATTTTTACACTAATTTGGCACTATTTACGCAGTATTTAATGGCATAACGAAAAACCGTATATTGATCGTGGGTACGCTACCATCACGGACACGTCAATTTTGATACGGCGATACTTATTGAAAAGTGTAAATAAAAAAGTTGATATAATAATAATAAAAATAAAATCGTTTTTTTTATTTGCAGAGTTGAGGATTTGTGAATTTTTCTTTCACCTATCGCAATCCAATGCTAATTAAATTGATAACCCCCATTATCAATTTAATTATTATCGTTAGTTTTGAAGGGGGATAAGTGGAAGAAAAGTTTACATCCCCTATTGATGATGCAAGTCAATGAGGATTATAGTCTAAGAGCTACTGAACCGTCTGTCTAATCATTTTCCTACAAATCTAGTTTTTTTAAAATGATGTTTTATTATCTGTTTGTTAAGAATGTACCGTTCTGGCAGGAATCTCGCGCTTGCGTCATCATCTCTTAAAATTATGAAAATGCTAAAAAAATATTTTTTTTATCTGATGGCACAAGGCTACAATTTTAATATGTAGTAATTAGTGATGTGCCGGATCGTCAAAAATGTAGATCCGCGGATACGGATCTGAATACAGATATTTGGTGTCAAGATCCTCAGATACGGATATGGATACGGATCTTAACTTTCTTACATAATCGGTGTCGGTGCGCGCGATCTTGAGTTGATACATGTTTCGACTTGCATTGCGCGGCGGGGTTTTTGTTTGTTTTGTTTTAGTTTAATGTGACACTGGGCAGCATAGATAACGCTTGTGTTTGGTATTGGTAGTACCAATACCAAACACAAAAGTGAGCTTATAACTTTTTATAATATTGATCTCATTAAAAAGCTAGTTGATTTAGTACCTTGTAGTTATATACTATTGGTATGATAACTATCTACGGCAAAGTTTGCAACATAAAGGAGCCAAATGTTTGATTATAAGAAATAAAAGAATATCTGTATTGAATTTAATAGTTTTTTATTGCTACCTAATCACCTATTTAAGGCAAAGAGTAAAGCGCACTAGCGACGCCAATTGCTTTAAATTGTTACTAACAATAGATCTGGTTTAGTAGCTAACAATTTGTTAGCTACTAAACCAGATCTATTTCAAATAATTGTGGATCGTCAGAATCTCGGCAATTGGCATCGCTAGTGCGCCTTACCCTTCGCCTTAAAGAATTTTATCTATAAAATTTTAATAAGGTAAATAGATCCGTAAAAGATCCCCCAAAAAGTAACGGATACGGACACGGATACGGATCTTTCTTGTCTCGGATATCCGCGGATACGGATACGGATATCCGGCACATCACTAGTAGTAATTAACATATGATTAAGCGTAAAAAAAATACAATCTATTCTGAGGGTTGCAGATTTGTACCTGACAACAGGAACGAAACATTCCTTTAATTGTTTCAAAAGTTTAAGTTAACGGCCAGTACATTGTAGTGGTTGTACACATCTGCCATAATAGTATACAGAGCGTCCCACGGTAATGCCACATGAAGGGAAAGTATATTAAATATTGAAGGAGACATCATTTTATTTTTAATAATATCAAGTGCCTCAACCGGGAACGAAAACTCGTAAAATGTGAAAAAATAGGTATTTTATGATTACCGTCGTAAGGGTTTACCCTCCGTAAGTTATCATAAGGATTTCTTTTTCTAAATAACATACTTAGCGTTTTATTGAAACGAAGGACACTGTTGCGGCGTTTGACTCGGGGTCAGCCATTGTCATGAATGTTATGTAAAAGATATAGTTTACAAAAACCGATACTACGACAGTGTGCAGGAGTTACAAAATGAACTTAAAACGAATTATTTTTAACATTCACCACGCAAAGTTAGGTAAATCGACAGGCAGAGAAATGATTGAGACTGCGTATTTGTATACTACAGAATGGATTACATTTTGAACATTTGATATATTAAGTAAAATATTTATTTTTCTCCCACCGGGTCGTGTTTTTATTTTAATTTGTGTTCAATTATTTTAAATAAAATGTATATTTTCATGATTTTTCTTAAATTTAAAATGATATGTTATTTTGGAAGAACTGGCCATGTACGTCGGACTCGTGCACGAAGGGTTCTGCACAACAAACCGTGAAAGGAAAAAGCATTGTGGCAGCAGGTTTTAAATTTTTTTAGCATTTTCAAAAATTTAAGGAAAGATGACGCAACTGCGAGGTGCCTGCCAGAACGGTACTTTCTTTATTAAAAGATAATAAAACATCATATAAAAAAAACTAAATTTGTGGGAAACTGTTTAGTCAGATGGTTCAGTAGCTCTCCTACTATTAGTGGAATATCCCATTTTTTTTCAATAGGCGTTGTAGTTTTCCCGAAAATCGATAATTTTCTCAAATTGCTCATAAATAAATTTTCCTCTTTTTTTAATACTTTTGAAATGGTTTTCATTCTGTTATGATTTTTTTTATTTTGCCTTTTTCAGAGGCACCTCGCCTTGGCCTAGACAGACCGCTCTATTCCAATAACATTACAGCTCGAACTGAGCATGGTGTACCTGTCGTAAATGTTCCTGCGTTGTTCCCTCATTTTGGCATCTACTACTAAGGATGATATTTTTTTTTCTTTGTCTATCGGGTGGGTAATCAAAAAGTATTGGACACGTATTCTTAATTCACATAATCAAAACATTACAGAGATATATTGATTTGAAATGTCGCATGACGTCACGTCTTGAGTCAGTTTTTGCTTAACAGTGACGTCACAAGCCGAAGCCCCCATTTCGAAATTTCGACGCGCTTCATCTTTGTAATTTTTTGGTTCATTGACAAAATAAAAATAATTCAACTGTAGGACTGAATAGAGTTTCGTTTATATTACCCCGTCATCATCGCTATTGAAAAAAAAACGAGTGCCTTACAATAGCCGCGTATAATGTGTAACATTCGAAACATCACCTTATATTAGTAAAAAAAGATATAAAACCTACTACAAAAGGAATAAGACATTTGAACATTATGTTCTAAAATCAAATCAAATGGCGCGCGCTTTCGCGACTTCCTGTAACACACTTCCGTCCCATTTCACGAAATCACTCCCACAAATTGCAGGAAAGCGAGAGGATAGATGTTACACATCAAAAATAATTTAACCATTGGACTGAATAGTTTCGTTTACCATACCCCGTCATCATCGCTATTGAAAAAAGTACAACAGCGACTCACCAACCAAAACTGAGCTCAATTCCAACGGTGCCGCGGTCATAGTTCTAATTGAGCATGGTGTGCCTGTCGTAAATGTTCCTGCGTTGTTCCCTCACTTGCCGCTTCCACTTGTCCTGCTGGTGAGTCACTCGGTTGAGAACGTTGCCTCTGGCCCCCATCTGCTGTGACGGCCCCGGCAGGGCACCCTCGTCCTGAAAATGAGAGGTTTTCAAACTTATATATGAAGGAGAATGCCCGATATCGTCCCAAGTGTTGCAACACGCAGGGCCTTATCAAAAGGTCTTCTTATTACTAAATCTTTATTAGTATGGCTGTAATTTTCTATCTTGTGCAAGTAAGATATGAGCAGAGCTAAACGACAAAGTACCTATAAAAATGTTTTTAACTTGATAGGTAATTAATAAAATCGGCAATTAGTTCTTTGTAAAGTAACAAAATTCCTAGCTCAAAATATGAACAAAATACCTTTGAAATATGATTAAAGACAATTAATACAACATGTCTGTACTAGTCATAACTTGTTACAAGTTTGGGACGGCACTCATAGTAAAATGGATATTCTCCTTTAGGAGCTCGATGGGCATGGCGTAGGTGTAGCGTGTTCGGCCTTAGATCGTGGAAGTAAAGCATCTTTCGCAATGGTCGGTCTTTGAGTGGCTCACTAAAAACTAATTATATCGAGCTCCTCCGTGCTACAGAAGGCATGTTAAGCCATTGATCCTGGCTGCATCTACAGTCGTTAGCTCTCACCAAGTCACACTGGGCCCGCGTGGTAGGTCATGCCATGGTACGGGGAAATTAATAGGCCGGTGATGATAATATAAATTTAAAGCTACTATTATAACAGTTCTTATGCATAAAGCGTATTTATTATAAATTAGACAAATATGCTTGAGTTTAAACTGTTCCAAATGTTCCAACAGGCTGTTATGATAAATATGGCGTAATTTTTTAATTGCCACTCTTATAATATTATGTAGATATTGTTACATTATATCTACAAAACACTTCTATTAAAGACCTATGAAATGTTTGTTGGGTAGTCCCCGCGACTTGTAAAGCATGTAAAGAATTGGTTTTCGTAACAGAATTTCACCCCATTTCACTTTTCAAGGCCCAGTTCTATATAACATCTTCACGTCCGATCTCCCCACCAGCCCCGATGTGGCTGTTGCGACTTATGCCGATCACATTGCTTACCTATCACGCGACAAAGACCCCATAAGAGCCAGCTCTAAACTTCAGTCACTGCTGGATAGAGCGAACACCTGGATGCTCAAGTGGCATATCCGCGCCAGTGTACACAAATCGCATCATATCAACTTTACTTTAAGGAGAGGAAATTGCCCTGGAGTAAAACTAGGCAACAATGATATACCTGAGACCGGCTGTGTCAAGTATCTGGATTTCCATCTGGACAAGAGGTTAACTTGGAAAACACACATCAAACAGAAGCGTGACCAGATAAACATAAAGTTTTAAAACCTTTATTGGCTGATGGGACGGAATTCAGTTCTCACAGTGGACAACAAACTGTTTCTTTACAATTCTATATTAAAACCTGTATGGACTTACGGTATTCAATTATGGGGAGTGGCCAGTAACAGCAACATAATGTGCCTTCAAAGAGCTCGAAACGGAATTCTTCGAAACATAGCAAACGCACCATGGTTCTCACGAAACAGCGAAATCCATGAGTACCTAAATATTCCCACTATAATAGAAGAAATACAAGGCTGCAAGGAAAGATACTTCCGACGACTAACCATGCACCCAAACCCACTGGCCAACCAGTTGCTAGGTACAGTGGGGGTCACGGCCGCCTGTACACTTCAAAAAATCTTTCCTGTGCAAGCGCTAGACGGGTGATTTTACGGGCCCATCCTGATTGGTCGTAGTATTTTACTATAACCAATTAGAATAGCGCTGCACGGGTGCAGTTATGAATGGTGCAACAACAATGTTTATTTGTTTACTTTAGTCGGTTTTTGCATTTCGCTTATTGTTGACGCTTCTTGGATTGTTCGATTTACGTTTGACCCCGCATTATTTTTGGACTGATACCTGTTTTTACTTAACGATGGTGCTAGAAACAGGACATTTGTTTGCATAACGCGACCTTGGCGAGAATTTGGACCATGTCTTCAAGAAACCTCTCTATACAAGAGAGGAGTCGCATAATAGCTTTGCACGAAGAAGGGCTGAATATTAGCCAAATCTCCAGAGAGCTCGGATTAACGGTAAGAAAACGTATTAATAAACTACTGTTAATTTTTCTAATAGATTGCTGATATTATTTTATTTATAAAAATATATTTTTATAGATAGACAATATAATGAGTGATATTGAGAAATATTTAGCTATCGAAAAAGTAACTTTGTTTTACAAACTGTCGTTTTAAAATCAACGATAAACTTAAAAACCGGCCAAGTGCCAGTTGGACTCGTGCAAGAAGGGTTCCGTGCCATTATTTATACAACATTAGACACTATATTATAATATCGAGCAAAAAATGGCAAAAACACGTCTGTTGTATGGGAACTCCCTTAAATATTATTTTAATTTGAAAGTGAATATGCAACTAAATATTTTGTGAATATTTCAAGCGTCTATCTGATGCCGTTATTAATATTGAGCAAATTTATTTTATTCTATTTTTAGTATTTGTTGTGATAGCGGCAACAGAAATACATCTTTTGTGAAAATTTCAACTGTCTAGCTATCACGGTTAATGAGAAACAGCCTGGTGACAGACAGACAGACGGACAGTGGAGTCATAGTAATATTGCAAGTAACTCAAAGGCAACATGGCATCATATTTTTAAATTATAGATAATTGCGAATATATATCGATAGTTAAAAACTCATTTTAAAATGAAAGAAGAAAGAAATAAACGTATAATCATAAATTCTGTTTGAGATAGATTTATTTAACGGCTTGTTGCAAATAACTATTTTTAAGTAGACGTCAAAAATTACGTTTTGTTATTTTGTTCTTCCTGATAGATATTGAATCTCAGACACTCCGAAGTGTTGCCAAACCGTTGTAGTGTCACTGCTGGCGTCGCGTCGCGTGCGACACAGCGAAGCGAAGAGCAACGTCGCGCGTAATGTTTTGACGCTGTCTGTCTCTTTTAGTATCGCACAAACAATACGAGTCCTCGCTCATCAGTCATAAAGCTGAATTTGCTTTTTCATTTTCTATTAGATTCCTTTTAGCGGCTTGGCAACATTGCAAGCGCCTACCAAGGACATATAACGTCCTTGGTGCCTACCGAGTCAGGTTTTGTAATAAAAAGTATGTTTGTTGGATTCTTGTCCAACGATAGCTCTATGAAACAAAACATTTGCGGAGTTGCAAATTTTATAAAATAAGCTACCGATCGATGGATCTACGCCTATTCATGTAGAAAAGACTAGAATAATAAATATAATTTTATATTCTTTCTTGAATGTATTTTTTTTATTTATAAATCACATGATACTTAAAAGATAATAAGGCAATCAATTACGTGACTGTTTTTTATCCATTATAAAATTAATGGCGAAGTTATCGATTTTGCTTTATTTAGTCACTATTTCGCTTATGACTTGTATGACTCTATATGTATTTAATTATTTTCAACTCTTACATTCAATTTAGAATATAGTTTGAAGATTCAGAAGTTAAAGATTAAATTGTTAATTTTGTACTTTATTGTTACAAAATAATATCTTTCTAACGTTGTTACTTCTGAGGGCCTACGTTAAAGTACTAATTTTTATCCAATTAATTAAATACATTAAATTTTGATCATTACAGATCATCAAAATAAATAGGTATCACGAAAGATATCTCTTAAAAACGCTCCTATTCGTTGCTGCCGCGGCTAGCCTAGTCATACCTATATAGGTAGTGCCTCGAGCAAGAGCCGGGCTTTACTCTAATCGCCGTAGACTGAAAAGAATAATTTCGTTTTTTTGTTTAGCTCAAATATGTAATTATGTCAATTGACCTGTAATTTATGAATTTTAGTAAGTGTTAAAAATACAGCTTCTGCCGTTTTAAATTATTAGAAATGAAAGAAAATTAATAAATGAAGTAAAAAGAAAATTAAATAAAACTAAACAAAAATAATATACAATAAATCCAAAACTGTAATACAAATATTAATATAAAATTCCATTCAGGTTAAAATATGAACAAAAAAACCTAATTATATGTGTATTATTTTGAAAAATCTTAGTTTATAATAGTGTTTATTGAATTATTTTCTGTTATTATTTATATTTTTTTATTACAGCGAAATACTGTGCGGCTATGGGTGAACCGTTTCGGAGACGAAGGACACTCGACACCCGATCAAGACAGCCCCAGCAACCATTTTCAATTTCAGCGGAACAGGCCCAGAATTTGACTGCTCCGTCCGTACCGTAAGAAGAACTCTCCAGCGTGCGGGAGTGCATCACAGACGGCCAGCGAAAAAAATAATTTTAAGCGAAAGAAACAAAATTGGTGGGGTGCGATTTGCGAGAGAGTACCGTGATTTTGATTTCTCACATGCCATATTTGCCGATGAAAAATGTTTTAAGTCCAGTCAATTAGGACGGCGGTATTTGTGGCGTGTGGATAACACACGGTACGAGCCCCGTAATGTTAACCCCAATAACGAATCTGGCAGGATTTGTGCCAACATGTGGGGTTGGATGAGTGCTGCTGGTCCGGGGGAGCTTGTTGCTATTTTTGGGAGGCGTTAGTCCTCCAGGCATACCTGGAGCTCTTACAAGAGGCATTAATACCTACCGCGCGGGTGGTATATCCGGAATCGGAAGTACCGGAATTGATTTTCCTTCAAGACAATTGTCCGATCCGCACTGCGCACGCGGTTCAAAATTGGCTCCAGGCACAGCCCGAGATACGAACGGTGCGGTGGCCCTCCCGTTCCCCTGATCTAAATCCCATCGAAAATATGTGGGGAATAATGGTCCAAAGATGGTACAACCGTAATGAAAGGACGAGAGAGGCACTCGTCACTCACTGAGTAATAGTTTGGGAGAGCATACGGGGTTCTGACCTTTGTGAAAAATTAGTCAATTCAACGAGGTCGCGACTTGATGCCGTCATAGACGCCAATGGTGCCGCAACTAAATATTAAATAAGGGCCGATAGTAAATATTATTATAAGTGTGAGAGTTTTTATGTTTGGATGT